TTACTCAACTCTAATTCTCTGGACAGCTTTCTCGGAAGCTAAGTCTTGCAATCCAGTCACCTCAGCTATTGCTGCTTCATTTATTCAGCCTATTTTCCAAAATCAGAGTAAACTGAAATAATGTCATGAAATGTAGTGTAGTTCTAGGAGATTTCACACAAGACCAGGTTCTAGCACCCATCTTTTTAGCCTTTACCAACTTGGTACAAGTGTGGTATGTATTCACTTCATCTTGTCCTGCTGTGATGAAGGGAAATAAAAATGACTTTGATCACGTTGGTAAGCTTTTTGCCTTGTCTAAGAGCAAACTTATGAAGCAATGTGGGTCTACTATCATCTTACTTTCATAAGGGACAACTCAGCAGGGAATTGCTGCAAAGTAAAACAAAACCAAACAAAAACTTCAGTATTTGGTAGAAATTTAATCTTGAATATCCTCAGGCAGCAAGCCAATTTAGTCAGTCTTTCATGGGCACTAGTCAGTTGTGGCCCATGGTGCTTTTATTCTGCTACGTAGCCATGGAATTTGCTCTTAATTCATCCTGATAGATTCTTAGCATGTAACTCTCAAACTGAGGTGTTTGAAAGTTTAGATATTAATATTTCTCTAAGTGAAACCATTACCTGGCCTCTCTGTGGTGGGTGTGGGTGTATGTCTGTGTGTCTCTGTCTGTCTGTCAGTCTGTATGTATGTATGTATGTATGTCTGTCTCTCTCTCTCTCTCTCTCTCACACACACACAGAGACAGACAGAGAGAGAGAGAGAGAGGGGGAGAGAGAGAGAGAGAGAGAGAGAGAGAGAGAGAGAGAGAGAGAGAGCTATGAGATCAAACTCAAGCAATTCCACATCTCTATTTCATGTTTCCTGCTGCTAATTCTGGGTTTCAGAGAAGTACACATTTTAGAAAGATCAAAGCTCTGCTCTGAAAGAAACCTTTACACCTTCCTTCCACCCTCCTTGCACTGGTAGAATTAATATTTAATACATGGCATATTTCCATTTTTGCCTCAGCTGCCAGGAAACAAGACCATTCACTGCCGGTGTAAGGAATTGATTGTTGTGCTTGACCCTGACCCCTAGATAAGTCTCCCTCGTCCCTCAATTCTTTGGAAAACTTGGTTTTGTTCCTGTGCTTTGTTCTATAGAGTGGTGTGTTTTGTTTTTAAACAATTTAATTAGAAGCAAGCTCCACGTTTCAATAACTTATTCCAGTAAAAGCTGCCCGAGCACCATGTCAGTAATTTCATAATTGCTCCTTACCTCCTACCCTCACCTTCTATACCCAGGTCTGTGGTATTTGGACTGGGCTCATACAAACATCATTTTGGCTTGGCCTTTGGGCACATTGAGAGAATCTGCCATTAAGGATTATAGAGAGAAACTGAAAGGCGTGAGAAAGAAGGAATATTCTTTAGGTGACTATGGACTTCCTTTATTGTTCCTGTTCCCAGTAATGCCACCCAAGTGATGCTTTGCTCATCAGTAGAAACAGTCTCTTCTCACACCAACAGTGAGAGCCTGGGTACAGAGCTCCTTCCAATGTGAACAGGTTTCTCCATCACTCCCCGTCTCACCTGCCCCATTCCACAGCCAGAGCTTCTTCAAAAATCTCACTCCACAAAGTTCTAGGTCATTCTTCTGAGCTCAGAGACAGTGGTGCTGAGCGGTTCCTCTTTAAGGGCTGAGTTTCATCGATGCAGGATCCTCCTGTAGCTCTCAAAACATAGCAATTTCATTTTGCTCTAGCATGCGAAGAAGTGGCTGATTCCTTGGCTGCTATTTGTGAAATACTTGAGGCATTGTCTTTTTTACATTTGTCATGCCACCCCAAGTAACCAGTTAAGAACCATAGAGTAAATTAATACTGCATGTATTAAAATTTCCACAAACAACAATAACCAAATCAAAGAAATGTTTGCCTTCATAGGGTTGACCCTGTATGTTAGACAGATATCCATTGCTTTTGTTACTTACGTGGGTCCGAGGGTGGAGTCCCCTTGCTATATGCCCATTGCTCTCAGAAGAAAACTCAGATCCTGACAATGGACCGCAGGATGCTATGTGGTCTCGTCCCCACTTCAGCATCTACCTTCCCTCTCCTCACTTCCTCAGTATGCTCTCTGCTCTTTCATTCTGGAGAACATGAATTAGTTCTTCAGGGAAGTCTTGCACCAATAGTTGTTGGCCACTTGCACAGGGAGCATCCTTCAACACCTGATTTAGCTGGGTATCTCTTTCTCATCCTTTATGCTATGTTCTGCATTTTCCCCAGGTTACTCAGGTACAGTGGAACACACCCTTACTGTCAGCATTTGGGTAGCAGAGGCAGGCAGATCTCTGTGAGTTTAAAGCAGCCTGGTCCACAGACAAGGGGCAAGACAGAGAGGTACCTAGTGAGACCCTGTCTCAGAAATCAAAACAAAACAGAGCATATTTTCCTCAGGCCACAGAAACGTTTATCATTTCGCGGAACATGTGGCCTATGCAGGCTTACATATGTTTTCAATTGTAAACAACTTCATACTAATAAAAACCAACCATATGACTCATCGTATTAACATCTGCATGTTTGCTCATTATGACTTTAACACATGTTGCTTTTATCAAAATGTTAATTAATTATATCCATTTTTTTTCCACTTTGCTATAAACATACCATAGCTTACAAGCCCCAGCTCCCACGGCCTTGCAGAAAGAACCACTTCTATTATTTTTAAAGGATGTAAAAATAATTATATGTTTACTTCCTGAAATAAGGCATTCATTTCTTCAAGTCTTGGAAATATTCTGTTTACATGAAATGAAACATCCGTGGAAGTCCCTTGCCTTTATCAGTACGATAAAGATCAAAGTGACAGGGTTTTTTATTCTGAGAGACGGCTGCGTTTGCCAGACAGCAGGACCTGCTGTATACATCTTCATGAGACTGGGATAAACTCATCTGAATTCACCCTAGCCAGAAGGCAAGACCTTTGGGGCCTGAAGTAGGTGCATTACCAGGACATTAAGTGTGGCTTAGCATCACCTGCTAAGATTATTTCTGATTGGCAACCTCTGTGCGTTTTCGAAGCCTTCCCCCACCCCGCTTGGATTCCATGTTTTTGACTTGCTTTTCGGAAATTGTGTGAAGTTTACCTCTGAAATGATCCAAACTAAGATTGTTGTTGGACCAGCCTCACTCTGAAATCCAGGAAACAGTTTTCATGCTGGTACCAGTTAGAGCCCACATCATGTTTATTAATGAGTTTTTCTCATTCAAAACTACTTTTTATTTCTCAACTCAGGGTAGGCTTTCATTAATATGCTTAAACCAATAAATCATCATTTGCAGTAAGGCAAGATAATCTGTCTCATAATGAAAATGTTTAAACTTAGTTTATAAATACACCTTTACACACAGAGCAGCCCACTGGGAGCACAAGATGCAGAGTCTTCTAAGAACTGAACTTGAAGGGCTTGCCATGTTAGACCACTGAATTCTATAAATATTATTTCTGCTGGAGGTGCGCCAGCTCTTCATCATAGTGTTTACAGGTCTGCTTATCCTGTGCCATTTTGGAATGGTTAGGATGGTCATCTTCCAACTTTCATATCCTCCGTTCCCCATCTCTTGGATGTTTATTTCTCTCTTTTGTGCTTTTGTTCAGCTGTATCTGCCCCTGAGGTCGCCACCCCTACCCTGAACTCTTCCCATCATACAAACATATCTAATTACTTCTCATCATTTTGCCAGAGTATCGTGCAGATCAAATGCACGGTAACTGGAATCCACACAGGTAAATATCTTCTGCATATCAAAGGTTTGTTCATCCCTAAGAATTAATTTAGTTTAATTTATTACTTGTCTTCCTTGAGATAAGTTTTCCTCTCTCTCTCTCTCTCTTCTTTCTTTCTTTCTCTTTACTTTTTTTTCTCTTTCTTTGTTTCTCATTTTTTTTATTTGTTTTTGTTTTTGTATTTCTGAGACAGGGTCTCTCTGTACACCGCTGGCCATCCTGGAAGTTTTTTTTTTTTTAATTTTAATTGCAAGACTCATCGAAAATACTGGTTGCTCTTGCCTTTTATTAAGAACTCAAAAGACAAAACAAAACAAACAATCAAAAAAGACATTTTGTGTGTGCATGGATGCCACAATGTGTACATGGAGGTCAGAAGTCAACCTTACTTGTCAGCCCTTACACTTCAACTTCTTGAGACAGTTTCACTCACAGGAGGCTAGCTGCTTGTGAGCATCTGAACCTCTTCTGCCTCAGCCTCACCTTCAGAGAATTGGGATTGCAGACACAGGCACAACTTCCAGCTTCATGTGGGTTATGGAGAACTCAGGTCTTTGTTGTTTCAGACACTAAACCACTTCTCCAGTCCCTGTTCTTCTCTTTTCTGAGAGCAGCCACCTTATCTAGCTGGAAAGTCTTTCTAGCCCTGCAACTGGGCAGGATAAATACATTTATTCCCCAAACTCTTCATCTTTCTTTCTTTCTTTCTTTCTTTCTTTCTTTCTTTCTTTCTTTCTTTCTTTCTTTCTTTCTTTCTTTCCTTCCTTCCTTCCTTCCTTCCTTCCTTCCTTCCTTGCTTTTTTTTTTGTTTGTTTGTTTCAAGACAGGGTTTCTCTAACGGCTAGCTGTCTTGGAATTCTCTTTGTATACCGGATTGGCCTCAGACTCAAAGAGATCTGCCTGCCTCTGCCTCCCAAGTGCTGGGATTAAAGATGTGCACCACCACTGCCTGACTAGTTCCCAAACTCTTAATCGACCTTTGAGTAAAAAAATTTGCCTTCAGCCCAGTAGAGTTGTGGTTGTCCAGGGTGTTATCTCTGAGTTCTTGCACTCTCCTTCAGGGCAAAGCATATTGGAAATCGAAGCCACCTTAAAAGACAGCTGGGACATTAGAATTTTAGTTCCTGATAAAAACTGAGCTCCAGAATTCCTGGTTTACACAAGACAGAGGCTTCCAGAATTTTCAGGTACAATGTCAAGACATTACTATTAGTTTTGCATGTTTGTTTATTGTATCGTACACAAATTCAGATTAAATACTTTACATATTCCATGGAAAGAGTTCCAAATAAATCTAATGGTAATCCTAATGACACACGAGACGAAATGAAGCAGAGACATTTAGACAGCTGTGATGCTGACAAGGATGGAACTAGGCAATCAGGCTCAGGTTTCCATTCGCAGTGTCTTCTTCTTCTGTTGCCCCACGTTGTGTTTCAGTGTTCAGAGTACACTGGCTGGTTTGCTTTGGCTCCTTCGAAGTCTTCCATTTATTTCTATTTGGCAGGTAAAGGCTGTGATTCACAGAATCATTTTCTGCTCATATTTTTGAGGAAAACAACAAAAGGGACAGAAGCATTTGTATTCTTGTCATTTGTAACCCCCTTAACTCTTCTTTCACTCTATTCCTCTTGAGACACAGTCTCACGTAGCCCAGGTGTGCCCAGAATTCACTATAGATCTGAGGATGACCTTGAACTCCGAATCTTCTTGCCCCCATTTTCCAAGATCTAGGATAAGAAGCCTGTTTTGCCACCTCTGTCTCCCTTTAATTATTGCTGAGCTTTCCGGTGATTATCATTCATCCTCTGGGCTCTCTCTGCAGGCTCATCTACCCTCAGGTGAATCCAGTTCTGGTTCAGGAGAAGACTTGATAGTCTTTGAGGCTGCATGACTTTAATGTCCCCTGATAGCAACATTGTTCTCTTGTCATTAGGGTTATTTTTCAGAACCACAAATAAGGGGTGAGGGACACCATCTGAATAACTCTCGTATGGGAAATACTGAGGAAATGACGATTGTGTCTCAGCTGGGTTGATTGCTAAGACAATTTGCAAGAAATGTCTGAATTTTATTCCTGTAATTGACATTGCAATTTGAGGTGACCTGGAGGAATTCTATTTCTAGATTTTGCCAAGCAGAAGGTAATAGGGGAGGGGAATAAAATGACTTAACAACTGCAAATAGATTAATCCTTTTTCTTGAAATAACTTAATTCACAACACAGGTGTCAGGACAAATCTTTTGAATTTTCAGAAATTGTCCTTTCAACATATACCTAGGAGAACTAAAACAAACAGGAAATGCCAAATAGAACAGGCTTGATGCACACGAAGCCTGGGGAGCCATTCTGCCCAGTCAGTGTCCCTTACCGCCCCTTAATTAGTGAGACTGTGTTGGTGGCATTTTTCCGAAGGGAAAACTGGAATCTTTTGCCTGTAAGTGTCTCCATTAGCTCAGTGTGTGTTTTCATTGGCCTTTAGGGAAGGCTCCGTTCTATTGCGGTTTGTTGATGGCTAGCAGTGTTCTTGGCACCGAGTGAGATATAGAAGAAGGTACAGGACCCACTCAAGGCACTTACACCCTAACTTAGTAAAACAAACAATGGATTATTAGTCTTGACCTTGGGTTTAAATATGAGCAGTGCTACTCCCAGAATATCTCCCAATAGGGTCCCTTTGGGGTGGGCAGGCATGATCTTGGGGGAGCAACTGTTCTGCCTGGTATACCTCCTTCCCCCCCCCATTTTTAGCACGCTTGCCTTTGTTCTAGGCCTCTTTCCATAGCCGGGCTAATTGCATACATGGTACATCTCAGTGTCCATTGGTCTTGAATAAGTGTTTGCCCTCACTGCAGTTCACTATAGTTGAATTTCATTTATCTCCAGCTATTTTGGTTCATGACTGGGGGGTAGAAGCATTGGTCTTGATAAAATGCATTTATAATTTCTTTTGAGAATGAATGATTGCTATTATACATGACTGTGTAAATATCTACAACATGACAACTGTAATAATGATTGCTGGGGTTTGTGGTACACACCTGTAATTCCTGCAGCTGGGATGCTGAGGCCGATCATAAACTTAAGGTCAGCCAGGGTTTCACAGTAAGATCCTGCTTCATAAACAAAACGTCAAATGAAAAAGAATAAGTTTTTAGTGTGAAGACCCAACAAAGTTGAGGGATCTTCTTATATACTATGCCCATGTAGTTTTATCTGTATTAGTAGAGAAGGGGAAAATATTAGACCTCAAATTCTAGTATTGCTCTTGTTAGAGAGAGCACATGAATACAGAAGTGGATGGGGAAGTGCAGGGAGTCTACTGAGTAGACCCTGAAAATGAAACCATGGAGCAATCATTTAAATCCATGATCTTCTCTCCTTTCCTTCTTCGTTCTTTTCTCTCTCCTGTTCTTCTCATTTAACAATGGTTTCCCAAGTATCCCATCCTATCCTTGAGCTTCCTATGTATGTGGACCTTTTGATTTTCCTGCCGTGCCTTCTGAAGCTTGAATTATAGCCATGTATCACCACATCTAGTTTCATGTCACGCTAGGAAACCAATGAAGCAAGTCCTCTTGGCTGTATAAGGATTCTACCGAGATACATCCCCAGTTTCTGAATGCCTATCGTCATGGAAGGACTTGGGTTATTGGTCAGTAGAAGTTTGTATGAGAGAAAGTAAAAGGAAAGTATAAGTCAAGCAAACCATTGATCTAACATCCGGTACATGCATAGATTCTAAATTAGAATCTATATTATTATTATTATTATTATTATTATTATTATTATTATTATTAACCTTTAGAAGTGCACTAGATTTAATATATGGAGCTAATGGCATTAATTGATAGAAGCTAAATTTCATCCATGATAAGAGCTGAACTCTCACCTCTGTGGGGATTAAATGTTGAGCAAAAGTCATATACAAGTGATCAGACAGATTAATTTTATTTAAATTGAGTTTAGAAGCAGGCTGTTAAGTGATGATAGAATTCTTGATACTATTTTCCTTGGAGCAGAGGTGATGGTGGTATGTCAGTATGTCTGGAACACTAATTATTGGTCATGGTATGCTATATAAGTGTTTCATTTTGTAAAAATTAATCAAACCATAAGCTTATAATTTGTGTTTTCATATATATATACATATATATAGTATACATAAATTTAAAAACTTTTTAAAAATTACAAATGTCTGCTAAAGGTGTTTACATATGCATATGTCATTGGAGAGCCACTAAAAAATGTTCGCCAAGTAACTGTTTTTTCTTATTTTTACAAATTAATAGCTAAGAGATATTTGATTTCTGGGAAGTACTTGTTAAGTAAATAATTTGTGGTTATAAAAAAAAGGAGCTAGTTTATCTTGGGCAGTAGCCTCCAGACACCTTGGTATTATGGTTTGCATTGCTCTCATTATAATGGCAGGCAGTTTACTTGGAAACACAGTGACTGTAGTGGAATGTATGTGAGCAGAAAGGAGAGTGGTCAGGCCACATCATGGTAATTTTATAGTAGATTAAGAAAATTTACTTCAATGTTCCCCAAATCCTGAGATGTGTGACACCAGAACTTGTCGCCCTCCTTAGCTACGATGACCACAGTCTAACTAGCATATCTTAGAGGAAAAACTGCCTCCACCCTTTCCCAGCATTTCTTTCCCATATAGAGAGAAGTAGGAATTTGAAAGGCCACTGTGGTTGACCAGAAATATAAGAATACAAGTGAGAGAGAAGGGATGGGAAGGAGAAATGGGGGAAGGAGGAGAAATTGAAGAAGAAAAACAAGGAAGAAGAAAAGAAGAGGCAGAGGAGGAAAAACAAGGAAGAAGAAATATAGAGGAATGAAAAGGGGAAGGAAATGTGGCTAAAAGTATTGTTGAGATAGTCTCTGGGCCATCAGTTTCCAATAAACAAAGCCCAATTAATAATGGAAAAACAGGAAAATATTTAATATTTACTTACTACATGCTATTAGCTGTCTACATGCAATATGCCATATGTAATTATTCTTAGATTCTGTTTTATAGATGATAATCTTGTGATCAGGCCAACTTCCCTTCTTTTATTAAAATATAGGAATTATTTTCTCATATAGTATGTCCTGATTACAGCTTACCCTCCCTCTACCTTTTGCAGATCCTCCCCACCTCCCCTCCCATGAAGATTCACTCCTTCTGTCTCTCATTAGAAAAGAACAGGCTTCTAAGAGACGACAACCAAACATGACAAAACAACATAAAGTAAGATGAAGCAAAAGCTTTCATATCAAGGTTGGACAAGGCAACACAACAGGAGAAAAAGAGGTCCTAAGAGAAGGTGCTAAAATAGGGGACTGGTCCATGCACACACTCAGGAGTCCTATAGCAATACTTAACTGAAAGCTACAATATATACACAAATGACCTGGTGAAGACCCATGTCTTCCCTGTGCATGCTGCTTTAGTCTCCCGGAATGACTTTGCTAGTTGATTTAGAGCATCTTGTCATTCTCTTTTCTTCCATCTCCTCTGGCTCTTACACTCTTTCTACCTCCTCTTCCAAGGGTTTCCCTGAGCTTTAACGGGAGGGATGTGATGGAGACATCCATTTAGAGCCGTGTGTTCCAAGATCTCTCTATCTGTATGATGTCTTGCTGTGAGTCTGTGCATTTGTTCCCATATCCAGTAGGAAACTTCTCTGATGATGGCTGAATGAGACAATGACCTTTATACTGTCTTCAGGGGAGGCTTATATGGCTTCCTTTTACCTTAGATTTATTTTCAAGAAAGATTTGATTAGATCTTCTTCTCTTACTAAGCTGTATGAGATTGCATGTAAACCACCAGGTGACAGAAGTCAGTAGTGTGAATGTATAAGTGACCAAACTGTCATTCTCTTTGCACTCTTGTCTTGACTTGAAAGTGACTAAAAAGGTCTGCATAAGCAAGTTAAGGAGGAATTAAAGTATGTAATTTTAATTGTATTAAATGTAATACATATGTAATTATTATACCAGGCTATTTTAGGGATATGGAAGGGTGATGCTAACATCCAGGAAGAGGGAAGAACTTGAATTCAGGCTCTTAATGCCCTAGTACAAGCTAAGTATATACTGGATGAAGGTGATTAGGTAAACAAGCTATAAGTCCAGACTAGGATAATGAGATGGGCAGGTAACTATCAGTCCATAGGAACACAGGAGTAATTATTTCTACTTATTTACAAACAATATAATGATAATTAGTGTTTATGTAAACCAGGCTATAAGGACTATATATATATGTGTGTGTGTGTTTATGTATACACATATATAATACACACACATATATACACACACATATATATATAATGGGCTACCATGACCATATATTATCATTCTTAAACATTTTTATTATTCTAGTATGATAGTAAAGATGTCACTATGTGTGTGCATGTGTATAAGGATAAATAAGTTATATATGCACACACACTGGCATTTTTTAAGATTTTCTTTTATTTTTGTCTTGCTAGACTTTGTACCTGAGTTCTTGCACACACAAGGTAATTCCCTGAGCTATATCCCTAGCTATCAAATAATTTGAATTCCAATTTTTATTACCTATTAATTTGTGTGTGCACACGTGTGTGTCTATGTGTGTGTGCATGTGGGGGGGTGCACATGCATGCAAGGGAGAGAGAGGAGAATGAGTGAATGTGTGCACACCATGGCTTGCTTGTAGAGGTCAGAGGACTTCCTTGGTGCCTTAACTACTTTTCCATTGTTTTTGAGAAGGCCATACATTTGTTGATTCATATGCAGAAGCTAACTGGTTGCAAGCTTTGGAAATTTTACTGTCCCTGCCTCCAATTTCTCCATAGGACTGCTGAGATAACAGATTCTAACTCGTGTTGATGGTCTTCATGAGGGATCTGGAGATACAAACTCAGATTCTCATGCTTGCAATATCAAGTGCTTCATCTACCGGTATTTTTAGTGCTAATTTTGAAGCCCTCAGTGAGACCTGTATTTCTTAGGTTCTCTCCATTTCTTGCATCCCGATAGCATTTTTATATGACACACCTTCTGACGCTAGTCTGTAGAGTGACTGGAAACAATAGCTTAATGTTTCCCAAGTCTCTGCCTTGATTCCATGTTTTCTTTTAGGAACCTAAGGATAGATTCCAGGCAACGTAGTATAGTAGAAAACTCATCAGAGGTTTGGTCCAAGACCTGAACTCATCACTCAAAGCTATTTTGGTTCCACTTTTGATAAAAATAAATTATTCCCAGTACCCTCAACAAATTAAACTGCATTAAGATGCATTGACCAGAAACTGCAGCTTTCCTAAAAGCAGCTATGAGCTTTATAAACTCATGCCTAGCAGGCATGGCCTTTTCTTTCCTTAGGGTAGTCAAGATCCCCAAGGGACACATTCTCCTACTTGATGGGTGAAGAATCAGAACTTTCCATGGGGTTTGGCTTTCCCTGGGGCTTTAGTGCTAGTTAATATGACAGGGAATTAAAGTCACGAATTCAGTGACACTCCTTGTGGTGGCAGACAAAGTTCCTAAGAACACTCTAATTTCCTCGAGTGACATCAGTTTAAACTGTGGAAAATTCCTACAGGAAATCCACCCCTTTCATCCAGATCCTCTTACTATGTTCAAAAGTATCAATATTCAGATGTGTCTCCTAAGCAGGAAGTGGTGATCAGGGGCCTTAATGTCAGCACTCAGGAGGCAGAGACAGGAATATTACTATTAGTTTGAAGCCAGCCCAAGCTACCTAGTGAGGTCCACATCACCTGAGCTACAGCTGAGTGAGACATTGTCTCAAAAATAAACACACAAACAAATGAGCCACTGCCATTGCTTTGGGTGAAATAGTCAATACCAAGGTTCGTAATCCCATCCATCTGTTATGGATTTACCTCTGTTACAGGACTAAAGAACAAGCTATAAAAAGTTTGTTAGCAGAATCTGGATGCTCCTAAATCAAGGGTCCCCAGAAATGACGGGGTTTTACACTGGAGAGTTCAGACTAAGTCCTAGGGAAAATGCATAGAGCCTCTAAACCTCAGGCAATTTACTGTGGCTGCCAAGGCCTCCACAGCAAGAGCTTTTCAATTGGTATATTTATCCTTTCTTTACTTAGTATTGATTCTAAATAAAGATAAAACCTTCCTTTATGGGAAGCCTATGAGTAAGAACAGACGGATTCGTTTGTTTTATCTTCCCACTTGCTTTTTGCTGTGGCCATAAAAAGCTTTAGAAGTAACTGGGAGGTAATCCTGGCAGCTGCTGCTGCCCTCAGAACAAGGAAGGGATGAAGCGGGTGGACAGTGGGGGCCACAGGAGTGGTAGGCTCTAATGCAGGTGTAGGGTTAAACCTTCCATCTGTGGATCTGGGAGAAACAGTCAGTGCTGCATACCTACTGTTCTCCGAACTTCTCTGCTCATTCTGAGTGTTGATGCCAGCACTGGTGTTTCCTGACATTTCTCTATGCCCGCTTTGTGTACTCCCTATCCTTCCCCTCCCTTCCTCCTCCGTTCTTCCTTCCTCCTCTCTTCCTCCCCCTCCCTTTCTTTCCTTCCATCTTATAATGCAGCACTTTCAGCATAAATATTTATTTTGCTAAGCTACAGGTATGATTGAGAATGATTTGTGAGTGATTTTCTTTATGGAATAAGTTGGTAAGCAAATAGACTATTGACATGTGATTGCTTAAGAATTGGCTATGCCCAGCGAGGGTTTATGTGTGTTCAGACAGGACACGCACATAAATTACGACTCTTGACAATTCCAGCTGAACAAACAGGAGGAAAACGGCATTTTTCTTCTTTCTAAAATGAACTTAGTAATCATGTTGTTGGTGTGTGCATATGTGTGTATGAAATGAGTCAATATTTGTAAAAAAAATATTGTAAAAAAGGTTAACAATGCCTGTTCTTTGATGAGTAAAATAAAAAGCTATTATTATTAAAAAGGAACACATTAGGATTTTACCTTTGAGTCATGTTCTGAGTGTTTTTGCAATGTCAAGGCAACTGCATGGGCTTTCACATATATTGTTTCACACATAATAATTCCCTTGATATATCTTCGGTTCCTACTATGCCCCTGCAGGTGCCACAGTCTTGTTATAGAGTGTTGCTAACTGAATCCAAACAGAATAATTTGATAAGGTAAATAGGAGTGGGATAAAAGGATGGCATGGTTATTCTAGGGCATTTAATTTATACATCAAAAGAGAAGCTCCATGCAACACTGGGACTAATCTAAATTAGAGACCCCATGAGAATCTTTGGGAAGTAGGCACTGTACTGAGAGGGCAGCAAAGATCAGCGGGAGCAATTGATAATAACTGAGTGCTAATGTGCTCGGCTCTGTTCATGGGCCTTTTAGATGGATGATTTGATACAAACAATCCTCACAAAAGCTTTTTAGGATGGAAAGTATTAGCATCCTGGAGCTGGGAAGGTAGCTGAGTCGGTATAGTGTTTAGTTAGTTAGGATAAAGAAATCTCAAGTTTCTCATGCCCTAGCACCACATAGAAACCAGTCAAGGAGTAAACACCCATAGTCCTCAGAGGTAAGAGGATCAGGAATTTAAGGCCATTGTCAGCTACATAGTAGGTCTGAGTTTGATGATGTCTCCCGAAAGGAGAGAGAGTTAGCATCCCGGTTTTACAAAAATAAACAAACCCACAGAGATAGAAGTATCAACCCAAGGTGAAATAAGTTTGAGAGGCAAGACTGCAGCCAAACATTAGCTAATCTAAACCAGTCCATGGTTGTAGCTCTTCCATGTGAGAGTTTATCCTTGGGCATTTACACTCTGAGTAAGACCAGTCAGTACACTCTAGGAACTAGGGAACTCAGGAGATTCAGGGCACAGGAGAGGTCCTATCTGGAAGCGAATTCATTGGGCTTTCTGCTTCACTTTTCCCGAATGCTTCCTCAGCGATACTAGGAAGTGTCTTGACTGGGTGGGTTTTCCCCTCATTTGCTCATAGCACCGCTATGATTCACTGAGCAGGTGGTTTCGATGGTGAGGGGGAAAGTACCAGTTGCTGGCTGTGTTTACTCACCGGACTTCTATAGGAGCTACATATTGTCATCCCAAGAAAGCAAACATTTGGTGGCATTTAGAAGAACACTGAGGTCGGCCCCCAGGAGAGAAACTGCACAAGCCCTCTGCTTCCTCCAGTCTCTCTGATACAGTTCTGCCAACACCGCAACATGCCTTCTGCGTGAACTTTGAGTCGTTCCTTGGTGGCTTGGAAAGAACCAAAGACAGAAGATGGAATTAGCACAGAAGGAAACAAACCAAGAGGTCACGGTGATTCATGTCATCCGTGTGCCGTGGCATTTCTCTGAAGACACCATCAAGAATCCAACAAGGAAGAATGGGCAGCTGGGGACTTCCTCTCGCTCATGTAAGCATTTGATATTGCCCCACAATAGAGAGTGCAGACAATGTTGTTTGCAGATAAGACTTCTGCCTGGATTCAGGTAACCTTGTCTTACGGGATCCATATTTGACTAATTAATATATTCACAGCTAGTAACTACTGGGAAGATCATAGAAGGAGGATGGTAAAGAGGAAAAAAGGAAGGGGGGAGAGAGAGAGAGAGAGAGAGAGAGAGAGAGAGAGAGAGAGAGAGAAAGAGAAAGAGAGAGAGAGAGAGAGAGAGATTTGTTGGGGTTTCAAACAGAGGTCTACATTAGTTATAAACTGATTGGCCCATTAGGCTTCTTATTAACTCTTATAACTTATATAGCCCGTTTTTAGCCCATTTATTCTCATCTGTGTTAGCCTTGTGACTCAGTACCTTATTCAGTGGTTCTTCTTGCTTCTTCTGTGGTCGGGTCAGGACTGCAGAGGAATAGGCTTCCTCCTTCCCATAATTTTCCTGTTCTCAATGACCTGCCTCTACTTTCCTGTCTGGTTGTCCCATCTATACTTCCTGCCTGGCTACTGGCCAATCAGCATTTATTTAAAATATAAATGACAGAATACAGACCATTCTCCCATGAGAGAGAGGGGGGGAGGGGGAATGTAGGAGGATAGAAAGAAAAAGGAGATAAAAGGATTATAACAAAAATATATAAGGGGGCCTCTCACAGGTAGAAGAAAGCTAAGGACTAATAGAGGTCATTGATAATCCAGGGAAAGAGTGTTATTTACAGATAGATACAAACGTTCCACAAATACATAGCTAATAACTAAGCAAATCCTCCTTAACTTAACAGTCCCCAAATGACTTGCTTACAAATATTATTATCATTAATGAGTCTATTCTCTATTTAGCATGGACTCTTTTCCAGGTACAGAATAAGGCAATTCCCCAAGTATATATGAAGAGGAAGGAAATTTTGTACCTAGTTCAAGTAGGAAGGCACACACAAGAATTAAGAATGTGTAGGATGTGGTGTTAGAAGGAAGGTACACATACAGTGGCTTAGAACCACTGAATTTATACTTTTAAAGATTAAGGAAGGAACATCTAGGGTTCATGGTGGAATTTCTCCAGTTTGCTTTCTGTTGATGGATTTCCTTCAGTGTCAAATTCTTGCCCAGAGCCTGGGTAAAACCTGCAAGCAGTACCCAGGCCTCACAGCTATGTGTAATCTGTTTATTTGGTCAATCTTGGCATGCTTCTGTTGTTATGAAGACTATTAGTAGCCAGAGATACCTTTATTGGGCTTTCTATGTGTCAAATACTATAATAGTGCATTTCATGATCATGACAATGTTGTAAGAACTTTTTAATTGCTGTTTTGTTAATAAGGAGTCTAATTCTGAGAGAGCTTATTTATATTCAAGGACACACACGTAACTGATTTAGGGTTATATGTTTTATTTCTCGATATTTATGACTTCCTGGCATAGGTGAGCAGAGGTCCTTATTCAAGGAACTCTGAGAAGACAGCATCTGAGGAATCAGGAGGGGGTTGTGGGATTCCAGCCATCAGAAAGGGAAGCAGAAGCTCATGACATGCAAGGCAATAGGTGGTCCTTTAGTTTGAGGAGAGAGGAGATACCAAACCATGTAGGCTTCAGTGACTGTCAATGATGGATTGAAGTGAGTGTATGCTAATAAGGATTGGAGATACCATCTTCTTGGTGATTCACAACACTGGGTGTGTTTCTAATGATCTCATTTTGAAGGGGTCATGGTGGCATTCTGTGCTGTGTGCACGAAAAGGCCAAAAGGTCTTTCTCATAATTTCAATGTCCCAAACCAACATTGACATGAACTGAACAAGAAAACAATAATCATTTTTGTTCGGGGGATAAGTTCAAGCAGATAGTTTTGTTTTGTCTGTGGGAAACTATTATAAACTGGAGCTAGTTTCCAAACACAGGTTGTACTGTATAATTATGCAGATAAACATGGTTGACAAAGTTAGAACTTCATGAACCTTGGCAAACCGTAAGGAAAAGAATATTATAGTCATCTGTTGGGAAGGACACGAATCCGACCAAAGTACAAATACTTCTGTGATGATAGCCAGACCCTGATGCTTCCAGAAGCCTGTGCCTTTGTGTGTGGTGCTAACAGTGTCTGCCTTGTGAAGACAGCACTCGTAATGGCTTTCCACATCAGAACTTGGAGACACCAGTGAGAACATTTCATATTTGGTTTCTAATGTATTTCCTTCATTTAACATGGGAAGGAAGCCTATGTTCAGGTTCAAAACATAAGCCTGACCCTGAATCTTCTACATATAGGTTTTGGGTCTGTTTTTCAAAAAGTGGGGCACATTTGGTCCCATTTTGTGTTGTATTTCCCCTGACGCCTTCAGTCAAGGGAGCTGCATATAGCTTACTCTAGGTAAGTTTCTTGGGGATACTTTTTGTCCTCATTTTAGCCCTGTAGTTATGGTTTCAATCATTTTGGATATTTTCAGTCATTCGCTTGTGTTATGCAAGGAAGTAGATTTTGTAGATATGAAGGTCCATGCCTGTGTGAAGACCAACTAGGGAAATTGTGGAGATGAGGGAAAGATCCATTGATCTGAGCTTGGTGTTAAATAGAAGAATCCCAGCCATAAATGCTATTCATAAGCACTTGGTAAACAATGTCCTACCAAGTTGACAAACCCTGTACTTCACATTTAAATGTTTTCAGTTTCAAAACCAATGACTGGCAATTATTTAACAGTATAGAATCACATAAAGAAATGGGAGCTTTGTCTCCTTCCTTAACATCTAATCCCACTTGTTTGTTCAGAAGTAGCCACCATAAATGAAGAGATACATATCATTTTAGAACCTCTTAGTATATTTAGACTAAATATGTATTTATTAGTGTTTAGCCGACACATTTGAACTGTGCTATCCCTTACCTTTCATGTCTACTCCTTTCTGATTAACAGCTGCATGGTGTTTACATTTTGTAATACAGCCTTTGTGATTAAAGCCAATCCACGCTTATCACAGATGTAATTTATGGGTCTAAGAGGGTTGTCTTCGAGTCCAGCTCAGGGTTTACAAGGTCAAAGTCAAGCAGTTCTCTACAGACCACACTTGGCTCTGACCTTGTGGGTCTGAGGAAGTATCCATTTCTTCATTCACTCAAGTCCTTATCAGAGTCGTTCCTTTGGTCGTAGGAGTGAGGCCTTGTTTCTTAGCTGGCTGGCTGCCAGTGGTGACATAAAAGTTTCCAGGTAGCCTGCTTTCCTAGCCTCTGGTTATTTCCACCTTCCAGCTGGGAGTGGGGTGTGAACATACTTCAGTTTTGCTTGTGTATATTTAAATGAAGAAAACTCACTGGTTATGACATATTGTGTGGCTATACTGGACCAAGATAATCAAAGATAGCCTCACTAAAAGAGGTTAGTTGTACCATAGGCCATAAAATCGAGGAGTGATATCTTGTGATTTGTGAAAAGTTACATGAAATCAATAGGTTAAATGATACTATTGTATTTTACCAAAAAGCCAATTTTTAAATGAATTTTTAAAGATCATGCCACTTGTTAGTAGCAAGTGCAATGTTAGAAATAATATCCAGGTTTATTCTTCTTGGCCAACTCTATCTTCTAATGTGTGCATTTCTTCAGGTACTGAATAGATTAGAGTCAGAGGCTATCATGATAGAAATAGTTTTGCTAGTAAACTTATTATAAAAATAGCCCAAAATATAGTTACAATCTTAAATTATAACATCAAAGTCAGACTAACCTGAACATTTGGCTAGAGTATGTCCTTGACTGTGCTTTTAAAACAAATAGATCCAGGTGTAACAGATCAGTCTTGTAATCCTAGTGCTCAGAAGGCTGAAGCAGGAATATTGCTTCAAGTTTGAAGCTATTTCTAACTACATACGCGTATCTAGCTAGCCATGGCTACTGTAAAGAAGGAAAGTGCCTCAAAAAATAAAAGCAAAGCAAAAACACACAAAAAGAACAAACAGTATAAATGCAAAATGAGCCCCTTTCAACTGGTAAGTACCATTTTCCAAAGCTCTAAATTGTATCGCAGCTGCATTTTTAATTAACTCTCACAGATATATCATATCTAGCTTTTTAAAGTTTTTTCCCCCAGTAGTTATGGAGCCAGTTCTGGAGATAGCTCTGTAGACCAGGCTGGCCTCAAACTCAGAGATCTGCCTGCCTCTGCCTTCTGGGTACTGGGATTAAAGTTGTGCCACCGCCACCCAGCTCATACCTATGTGGCAAACTGTCTCACCATCCACAGAAAACTTCAGTCCATTTTCTAAACCATTGGAAATGTTCAATCAATTCTGTTCAAGAGTGCAAACACAGTATCCCTTTTCTAAAAGATTTATTCTGCAAAATGGATTGATTTTGTTATGTCCGTAGCTGCGTAGCTGAGTACCTCAAGCAGTGAGCTGTAAGACAAATTCCTTCATCGGGAAAAAAAAATCCCATGTTGGAATGTTGGAACAATGTTTTTATTATCACTTCAATTTTAAAAGTAGATGCCTGACATGAGATAGAGACATCATGTGTGGGATCCCTTTCTCCTTGGCTGGATTGAGGGGGTTTCTCCCATGTATTCTTGCAATTCAGTTTTGCAGTTTTATAAATGAACATGCAAAAGAAAAATGGGTGGCAGAAGAGATGGTATGCCGTCGGGAGCACCTGCTCCTCTTTCAGAGGACGGAGGACCTGAGTTTTGTTCCCAGTGCCCAAACCAGCAGCGCATGGCCATCTGTGACTTCTGCTATAGAAGGTCCAAACTCTCTTCTAACCCTGCGGATACCCAACCACACATGGCCTACGCTCTCATAGACACATATACATACATGTAAAAAAGGACGGTGTGGCCTTAAATTAAAAAAATAAACTCTCGATTTCCTAATTTAAATAGAAAAACTGGCATTGATTAAGGAAACTCTGCTTGGAGACAGTTTGATTTTCCACTATAATAGCTTGTGAGGGACCGAATCACGTCCGTTTCTTGTTTACACACTTGGAAAGTAGATGTAATGTCTACTTCAAGCAGATATTCTGAAGATAAAGTGAGATAATATACATAATTAATTCTGTGGCTTGCACTTAGTAATTGTTCAAGGAACATTTGTGGCAATAATGATGATGCTGAAACATATCGGTAGACAACATTTGGGGAGGAAGAACCATGAGTTCTGAGTTACAGTCAACTCTGTTGTCTAAGCTGATGAAAAGGGGCTTTTGCAAGAAGTAAAATCTTCGACATACCACAAATTTAATGTTCAAACCTTAAATTTTTTTTGTTTTTCATTGTAAAAATGATAAATGCCTCTTGTAAGAAGTATAAATAATATGCATATATATATATGGTAGAATTATCCTTTAATGCTTTCTGGATCCAAAATTAAGCTATTAGTTTTTATATTTCTTTAATTAAGCCTATATTTGTGTATATA